AGGCATGAATGAAGCATGCTGCGAAGCGTAATTTTTTTCGAGGTACGAATCCATCTTGCTCTTATTGTTCATGCAAGAACCCCATTCATTGATGGATCAGACGAGGGCATGAACTCGGTGTTCCAAGAATATGACAGGTTTTTGAATCATTGAAGGGGGCATGAATCAAGCATACTACAGAGCGTATGTAATGTGTTTGGAGGTAATACGAATCTACCTTGTTCTCATCATTCACTTAAGTCCCCTATCCATCGATGGATCGCTTGAGTATGCATCCAATTAGTGCAACGAGTGAAAATTTCTCATTCTTATTGTCAAAATATGTAGCCAATTTATTTGAATGGTAAAATGATTACATCAATTCTTAATCAGGGGAGTTAAAACCAGGTTGTCTTGTACATTCAACACCATAGTATGGGCTGTATGTGCACCTCTGCTTTTTCTCACAAAAATTAGACAATGATAACCAACCGACAGCCATGAATCATGCCACATTCTTGAAAATTTGGATGTTCTAAAAAGATATAAACAGGATCATAGATTCACAGTACATGATATTCTTTACTGATCTATACTAAGTAACCAAGTAAACAGGTCCATAAGATTGATCATCTTGGGAATTTTTAAGCTGGCCAAGAGACACATAGGGCACCTCGTCCTTGACTCTCTTGCTCGAAAGGAGAAGTCTGGTGATGGGCCCCGATGTTGGCTTCCGGGGTCTGTCAGTAATGCTACCACCACCACTTCCACGGACTGGACCCGAGAATGGACCACGACTCAGTTCAGAACCGATGGTGCCATTTCTTGGAGATTGCTGCACGACGGACTTGTTCTTCTTATCCGTTTTCAACCAGAAGAACAGGGAATTTTTCCATGATTTTCTGTTCTTTTTCTCCCCTTGTAATTGTCCCTTAATTCCCACCTTTTCAGGAGGCTCAATCTTGAAATTTCCTTGGCATGCTTTTGCTTCGTCAAGAAACTGAAATTGATATACAAGTATCAAAACAAAGAGGAAGACACAGATCATACAACTAAAGATTAGAGAACTTACCTGTTTAAAATTTGCTTGGCAATCAAACTCATAGTCAAAATAATCTGCACTGTCATATTTCTTGTACATTGGAGACTTCATTTCTGAAAACCAAAATCCCAAAATATATCGACTTCGAAAGTTATCGAGCAATTTCTCGTCGACACCGAGTATGGTTGGAATCTGTTCTCAACCTGCAAAATAATGTCCTTAACGACAACTTCCGGACGATGAAACCTATGAAGGAGAGTAAAATGCACTAAGTAATAGATATGAAACTGAGCAGTATGATTATAAAAAAAGATATTACAATGATCTCATTGATTCATTAGGTTTCTTCTTTTATGATTTTGTTCCCAAAATGTAGAATCCAGCTAAGTATATGTTCATCAAATGAAATTGCCTTACAATGTTTGGCAGTTGGATAGGTAGTGAGAGCTACTAAAGTAAAAACATTTATTTATGAAAGGAAGAGTGCGTATTGGAGAAGGCCAGCGCCGTATGAATTAATGCATGCATTTAAAATGGCTAAAGACATTAATGGTAAGTAACAATACTTTAAGAAATGGTAAATTTGATTAATGGAAATTAACAAAGCTTTAATATCTATAATCTATAATATATTAAAATATCACATCAAGGGATAATCAATTTTTTTTTGATGATTTTAACTCTCTACAATTCAATTATTTCACTAATACTTTACTTTTTCATTTTTCAATATATAATAAATACTACATAATTATTGTCATTTATGAAATTTGTGTTATTAATTCTCAATTAATTAATATTCACTTTAATCTAGATTCAATGAATTTTCACTTAAATTACATGAATCTAGAGTTATTATAGATGAATATATTCATATTCATGTATCTAGAAATTTTAATGAGAGCATGTTTGGTGGGGATTAAAAGCCAATTAAAATCAATTTTTTTTACCGTTATCTCACTATTCAGCCGTCGTTTTTGAATTCTTATCTCACAGGTAAGACCCACTTTATCTCTAACAGTCAAAAAATCAATTAACAAAATATCTACCAAACAAGCACTAAATGTTTAAATTTATGTATTAACAATTAATTTTTATGTATCAAATGTAATATAAAAAGATTGCTCATTTATAGTATTTCATCATTACAAAAAATTAGAATCATAGAAATTGAGTTTTGAGACTACAATTTGAGTACAATTTTATTTTCTTAAATTTCTATATTAAATTTTATTTTCTTTAATTTGTCTGAGACTCATCAAATTTTTCAACAAATTGGTAACAAATATTACTTTTACATCACTTATAAAGTATTTCAGAATAAAGTGTAATGCACGTTCAACTTTGACTAGTCAAATCAAGTTTGTGGATGATGATTATTGCTCCTATATGCGATTTGTCGAAGATAAAATCTAAATAATTTAATGGTTTCGTTTCTTTTGATTTAAGTTTTTAAATAAGATGACTCATCCTGGAATCTCATCTGATAGTGGTTATGAATTCGATTATCACAACTATAAATTTTCAAAAAATTTACATGTCAAGCTTTTAATGAATAATAAACACGATGTGCACATTACTGAGTGTTCAATAGTAAACATGGATACAGATTAAAATTTACATGCTTTATGAGTTTAAACTCTCAACCGAGTTATTTCAACATATAATAAATTTGTGAGTAATACTAGCAATTTAATGTCAATCAAGTAATTGTACTTGGAATTTTATATACCATGTAACTGCACACATATTTGATTGCAGTTAAGATAATTCCATTAAATATCGTACTTTAGAATGATATAAATAAGCAGCATGGACATTGTTAATGACGGTCTTCGTACATGAATAATTGCATGAATAAGAAATGAATTAAGCTGAGTGTACAGCAATTGACAGCCCACTCACAAGAGTAGGCTCCATGATTATTTTAATAGTGGGGTCCACTTGTTTGATGTGACAGTACTGTAAAAAATGATGTAAAAAGTACTGTACTTGTAGCATAATTGATAAGAAATAACATACGAATATCGTTCTTGATTGGATGAAAATCATCTAATTCTCTATAAAATTATCACATGATTCACATATGCTCAACTTCGAAAAAACCCTCTTTGCTTTCAATTGGGAGACATGTAATCATGGAGTTATTAGCTATTAATTCAATTAAATTGTTACAATAGGGAGGGGTAAAGTGAGTGACAAGGAGATGCTTATGAAGGAATTAATACACCTATAATTACATAATTAGATAGACCTAATTAATAAATAGTGTTTAATTATTTCTTGAATTTGCATGTTTAAGTAAAGTAAATTGAAAGGTAACCAACTAATATCTGTCACCATCCATTTGTGGGTCAAGGAAGAAGATGAAAATTTTCATGCCGCATGTTTCGGAGGGTCCGATGTGTCTCTTTCACACTTTAGGAGGGAAATTAGGTTCTTTTGATGTGTCACAAAAGCACATAAAAAGGACTTTAGATTTATGGTCTTGAACTTGTCGTTTTTCTATACATTTTTAAAAACTCAATACATTATTATTTATTAGTAAATTAGAAGACGTTAATGTGTAATATATTTGTTGGCGGCTTCTCATTAGCTAAAAAATATGATGTATTAAAGTGTTAAAAATATGTGGAGAGAAATCGTCAACGAAATGAACAATGCTATAGGTACATAATTTTTTACAAAAAAATCTTACAGACAACACATGGTGTATCATTATTGGAAAATGGGGAAAAAATCCAATCATGTTTTGCCACATCAGTGTCGGTACAAGTTCTGTTAGAATTTTCCTATACTCATGACTTTATTGTAACGAAATAGCTATTTGAGATTCCAAATCATAAGAAAGAAGGTGAAAACATGAGGATTTTATGGAATTTTCTTATTTTCAATGAATTTGGAACTGACGATGTAAAGTTATTTTTGATTGATGTAATTGTTTCAATGTTAAATTGATCAAAGGATCCCAGTAACAATTTTTTTTTTTTTTGGCAACCAACTGGGGCCTCTTCTGACTTGTTTTTGTATAACAAATTTTATTATATTAATTGAAAAATAAATTGTAAATTGGTTTAGTTGTCAATAGCACAATTTCAAGGCCCTCCTGCTGCAATTGAAACATATCCTAATACAGTTCTTCTAAGTTTAGCATCCGTCTGACAAATTTATATATTGATCAAACTTCATTTTCAATCACATAATGAAATAAATTCATAAGTATTATCGTATGCATCTCCCTTTTTGTCTATTTATGAATTAAACTGTTTATAAATCGTTCCCAAACATAGGCTCATTAATTGAACTTCCAAGAAAAAGTTGGTTAATTAAAATTAAATATAGATCTACCCTTTTTAATAAAAATTATATTGCTTTTGACCATAAAATAAACAAATTTATCTTATCGTTCTCGAATTTAAAAACCAAATTAAACAAATCATCACCATCATTCAACTCCACGACCATCACTTTCTGACCGATATGAATGGTAATGAGCTCGGGCCGCTATCGGCTCGTGAGAGTTCAGTCGGTAGGTAGCTTAGGCCCCCATTAATCGAGCTCAAGACGCCCCCATTAATCGAGCTCAAGACTGTATTAAAATTTGGTAAATTATTTAAATTTTAGCTATTTTTAATATTTTTTTGTATTTAATTCTATTATTTTTTTACAATAAAAAACGAAGGCTTGAGTCCTAGCCCTAGGCTCAGGTAGACCCGTTACCTCAAATTTGAACCAACAATGACAGCAGATGCTTATGGAATCATCATAATATCAAGAACCAGATCACAGAAATTAAGAGAATCGCATCAAATTGATCCCTCTTCATCAGCACGATCTCTATACAAACTACTAAGTATATAACCATGAGCGTAAGAGGGCATCAAGAAATCAAAAGTACCCCGTCGAGATTGAAGATGCTCGAGTCCTCTAAGCACACTCAAAACCCGCAACCCACTCTAAGCAAGCAAAGGCAGGGCCATAACACTACCAAAAATGAAAAATAATAAGAGTAACAACCACATTGGGAAAGATTGTTGCCTCTGATTAATTGGACCTTCTACTGTTTTCAGCTCCTTCTTTGCTTTAGTTTTCTTCAACGAGGGTTCTGATGTTTCATCTGGAGTAGATGCCTGCTCTCTCGGTTGTTCAGCTGCTAACTGCTCTTCATATTTCTCGACATATTCTGGAAAAAGCTTGTTAAAGATTGGGCTGTTGAGAACAAATCAAATTTGTTACGCGCCCATCCAAAAAGTGCAACGGTTAAAAGGGACCACAACATTTCAGAGATTAATGAGCCATCCACAATTCAAAAATGTGCTTACACGACAAAACAACTTAATTCATCATTCCCATAAACAAAAGCAATAGCCATTTGCATACCAAAAAAGGAGGCATCTGATTCGGGAAAAAACTCACTTTTTACAATTAAAAGCCAGAGAAGCTTTTGCAAGCCTCTTTTTCTCTTCTACAGTAGTTGTCACACTGCCTGAGGTAGGATTGCTGTCCATCTGAAACACAACAGAGCAGAAGCACCCTCCAATTTTTCAGAAACATTATCTCATTTGGCTGAGTTTCTGATTATTGAAACTGTTTTCTAACGAATAGTAAAATGAATGGCAGTTCCAGTTGGCAAAATGTGATAGATTCAATTATAAAACTTTTTGATGAACTAACCATGAAGGAAAGGAGTCCTGTCAAAATCCTGCATGAAAATAAAGGGAAAAATCAGCTCAACAAACTTGACACTGCTAGAGAAAAGAAAGACCGTATTTGCCTCAGTGACAACTCCTTACGTGGAGACAGACCACATGGGATTCCAACTCTCAGGATGGTCTGAAATAAATATGATATTCGTAAGTGGAAGGAGGGAAAAAAAAGAGACTTGTGATATCAAATAATTAATACGTCAATGTAACTTCATGATAACTTACAATCACTCATAGAAAGGCAAAGCTTCTTTTGTGGTTTGAAGCGCCCACTGGGAGTAATCATACTACAGATGATAAATAGCATTTGACATCATACATATGAATGCCAAAATTGTGAAGCCAACAATCTTCAAGCGTTAAATAAATTTTAGATGCAAATTTTGATGGGAACTAAATTACCTGATTCCTGGAGGTTTGAAAGGATACTCTGCAGGAAATATTATCTTTCCATGGTAATATCCACCTGGAGCGATTAATAATGTAAAAGCAAAACAAAATAAGCAAGCATTATAAAAACAAAGAAACATCTCTTGTGCACAACTCCATGAATTTTCACTCTCCCTCTCGATACAGCCAACATATTTACAATGGATAATAAATACAAGAAACCTGCATATGGTGTTCCTATGCTTCCCTCCAACACGTAATCTGACCACAACATTAGATAAAAGGTACAATTAAAAAATGATGAAAATAAATAAGAGAACGGGGAAAGAAACGAATAATAACTATCATTCCATTGAATCAATAACCCTATAGAATCAGCCAAAAATGCATGATTATAGAAAATAATTCACAAAATAACCTCCAAAAACGCATTAATATAATATCTTTGTATTTCAATAAAGGGCTATCCAAGATATTATTTCCTTTTCCAATTTGATAAACCTGATAACTGTACGAAGGATTTTTGTCATTTAGCACATGAAGTAACAAGAAGAATGAAGAGTGACACAGAGCAGCAAAAGCATATGAAAACAAATGACAACTGGAAAACCTAATTGTCCCACACATGAACGAAATTGGTATATATCATATTGATGAGCACGAGAAATCAAGTATGAAAATATATCCAAAAATTTATTTCAAAAATCCACTTCTTTTGATACATCAAAATAATACAAAAGCGAAAGCAGAAAGAAACTGAATGTGCACCAGAAAAGGCTCATGGAACAAACATCCACGTAGAAAGAACATAACTTGCGGAACTTACGCCACTCGAGGATGTCATTTGGTTGAGGACGGGCCACTACATGGGGAACAGGTTCCTTGAAATGAATAAGACAAACAATCAGCAATAATACTAGCACATAATTTGCAATAAAGGCTGAAATCAATCAATATTAAAACAATATTAAAAGAGAGGATATTGCACAAAGCACACAGAAAAGTAAGCAATAGCTGGCATGACCACATTTGGTNAAAGATAGCAACATAATTCATAAATCGTATTCAGCATCATTCTGCTGATGAATAATGGTGTCCAAAACATGAAAACTGACTAGGTGGCCATCATGTGAAGATCTTGCTGTGAAATTGAAAGTGAAATCTAATATATTAAAGTCCGCATTATACTGTGTGAGATCTATCATCAATGTTAGTACTATACAGACTAAAGGAACAAAAAGATGGATTAAAGTTATCTTTTCACATATAAATGAGGTATTCTCCATCTAAGAAACTCCTAAACACTACAATGTCGGAATGCAGGAGTAAATATAATTCATTGCAACTGAGAAGCGTATGTATTCAGCAATATGTATAAATTTAAAGATTTTCAGGGGGAAAAAACGTACTTTACAAATTGCTCTATAATCCTTCTGAAGGCGTTTTAGACATGCTTTCTCTGTCATCTCCGTCAAAATGATAATTAAAAGCTATACGAATTCTAGATTGGTCTTCAAAAACTAGGGCGTCTCCTGTAAAACAGAAGTAACTTTTAGAACTTGATAAGCTTGTCCATTTTCAACAAATGTACATGCAAATTTAAAAAAATGTTAAGAGTTTATGGTATAATAGTTTCATGGAAAATGCATAGAAAACTCAATATCAGTATAAATAAATAAGATCGAGTTTCAAGAAAAACAATTATTTTTCAGAAACTGAAGAAAACAACTATGCATACATAAGTACATGTTTACAGCCAACTCAGCTAACCAGAAACATAAAACTCATTTCCTGCATTCCATCTTCATGATTATAAAAATAAGAATCATCAATGCAGACAACTTTGAAGAGTGAAGCATCAACATTTAACAGCTTCGTGAACTTATGTAATTCAACTTGTTTTCTTTCGCTTGTCTAAACCACCCATTTTCACCAGCTGAAATTGAACCCAATCTGCATATTCATCAGTTCCAAAGAGTAACAGTGTCATTTTTTACCAATAAACTACTGAAAATCCTCCCGAAGAATCCTACCTAACAATTATGTCATTAATACTCTTTAAGTAATGTCCAACAGTTAATAATTTGAGATGACAGATAATATAATTAAGAACCCACTTCTTTCCATTTTCTGATTTACATTTTCCTAACTTTATAACTGGTTGTTGTTCTTCCAGAAAAAAGTAAATATCCTATAGAAAATAAGCCATTAAAATAGAGAATCAGTATACAAGAAATAGACTTTTACTAACTTCACAATCTGGGTGATACTGTCCTAATATCTTCAATGCTTCATTAACATCTATGACAGACAAAAGAAATGATGAACTAACTGCCAGTTTATTTGAGCAAGATGTACCATGTAGAATTTAATAGTAGCTCTTGACCAGAATATGTTTATTTCCAACACGCATCTTATTTAGCAATATGCATTACAAAAAAAACATAAAAAGGTGCTTTCCAACTCCTACCATTAATCCTTTGTACAAGAAATCCATGAAATTATGCAGAAATCATATGACTGGTGGTAATTTAGATAAAAGACTCGTATATGTTTCCAGAAACAATTAATTACAAAGAGCATTAGCTGTATATATTTGACATTTTAATTCTTCTCTATAAGGAGATATAAGTGGGAATTTTCCATCCATTTCTCTCCTCGAATTTTGCTACTCGCTAAAAACAGAATTCCCTTTGGTCCAAAAACAAAATTCCGAAGGCATTTTCATGAACAAGGGGGGACGGCTTCCGCATCACTAAACTGTACTCAAACTTGGACCAAAAAAAAATTATAATCGAGATAGCCCTAAAAAATGTCAAAATTTCTCAAAATCCAGAGAGATATAGAGCTGCTCAATCGCTAATTTACCCAAAATACATTCCTAGAACACCCACTCCTGCAATAAAACTGCCAAAATTTATATAGACGACTCGTTATCGCAGCCATTATCAGTGTTAAAATCCGAGGCCACTTAAAAAAAATTCCATTCTCCATAACGTGATCCATCCATTAAAAAAAAAGCAGCAAAAAATCATAAAAAATACAAAGTGTGTAGAGAAAGAGGCGTAAATTACCGGAGATCAAAATGTTCTAATCAAAAGGATTGCCAACTAAAATCATTCCGAATATCAATACTTAATATAACATTTTAAAACGCCGAATATACTATAAAACTGTGGAGTTTCCGATTCGATGAATTGATTTGGGTTCGGGAACAAAGGCATGCAGTATCCCAAGTTCTAATTTGTATATTATACCATGTTTGGCAGTTCAAAAAATTACTCAAACTTACTTGATTTATTTCAGTTAATTCCATTAATTGGCAATGGCCTTAAGAGAATTTTTCTTATCCTTTAGGTCACTAACATTATATATTATAAAAATTAAATATATAAAAAGGCAAGAACTTCACTTAAAATCTTGAGGCTACTTTTACTTCGAGTGAGAATTAAGTTAAATGACAAATAAACTTATGATATTTTACTAATTGATGGAGGGATCGGAATTGTTTAGTTGACCTTAAAACTTAAGTTATTCATCAAACGTCAAGTCAAAAGATATGTTAGTTTTAAAGAATGAGTGACGAATTGTAAAATGGTTAATAACTTCAACGACCAATAATATAAGAAAACTATTTTAATTACTAATTGGAAATTCTACACAAAATTCGGTGGCTAAATTAAGTCTAATTTATTTTGGCCGTGGTTGGTTTGCCGTTTTCGGCCTATTTTTCGTTTTCCATTTTCGAAAATGCGGAAAACGCGTTTAGTCCGTCGTTTTCGAAAACGCATTTTCAAAAACGAGTTAAAATTTATAACTGAAAATGTAAAACGACTTTTTATCATTTTCAGCGTTTTCTGTTATAAATGTCGAAAAAGTTCAAAACGCGAAAAACGGGCCGTTTTCGAGGAAAACTAAAAATCGTTTTGAAAATGAAAATACAAACCAACCACTACCTTACTTTTCATAAAACTGGATATTATTGCTTAATAAAAAGATTATCTTTTAAGTACAATCAAACATGAATTTATTCTAATGAAAAGATAAGTTTAAGTTTAACCTACTAAGATTTTATGCGGGAGATTGAGGTAGATAAGAATTCTTTGGGTGAGAAATATCTGAGAATTTTGGAACTTCAAATTTTCTAAAACACTTGTGAAATTAAGTTTATGTTTAACCCTTATTTTTTAAAGATTATTTTTTCTCAAAATTTATTTTGATCATACATTCTCCAAATTAAATAATTTTTGATGTGAATCCATGATTTTTTCCTACTTTTTAATAATTAATTCTTCAAAAAAGGGTTGCTTTTTACCCGTCATATTATTAGAAAATATCTAACAAACAGGGATTAAATAATATTTTCAATGTCAAATTTAACACAATAAAAACGAATTTTGTGTAGATGATGTATTGCGTGGTTCTTAATGTTATGATGTTAATAAATAAATAAATAAATAAAAATTCAAGCATCACACCTATTGAATCAAGTAAGGCACGAGCTGAAGTTGATTTTACAGTCAACCTTTGATTGTCGAATAATTATAACTATTTTAGGAATTTGATAAATTTTTTAAAAACTTGTTATGGAAAACTTTGCACCAAAATATTGCATCTCAGATTTTGCTGTTAATTTTTTCAATTACCCATCATGAATAAAATTAAATCATTTCTATCCCACATGTAATGTTATTCTATGTCTATTTAAATTTTTTCTACTATATAGACAACGATTTTATTTTCTAATATTATAAATGCTTAGTTTTTATAAATATTATTTCCTATAATTTATTCTTTCTTCAAGAAAAACTAAAGCGGAAGGATATTCTTTAGGGGAAAAATTCATAAATCAGGGATTAACTATGCACAATTCAATTTTCAGCTCAGACAGTTCCATAATTCAAGCGTGCAATTATATATATTCTATTAAATTAGTCTCCTGAAATCAAGCGTGCAATTACCTTCGTTAGGTGAACTCCCAAAATAAAAATTCACCTCCCTAAAATACAAACTCACCTTCTCTTCATTTGACATTTATCGATGGCAGAATTGACATTTAAGGTCACAATTTGAAGGTTCTCAAATTGAATTATCTCATCACAGTATAATAGAATTAATGCCAAGGCGGTGTTGTACTTTTGGGAATAGTTCGAAGGATTGTTCACTACGCAATTGAAGATTTCAAATCGAAGCTATGTTGAAAATACATTTAATCGTTGCCATCGGTAAGTCATGCCATGGATTCATGAATTTTACGTTTTTAACGAATTACTATATCCATTCATTGAAATCGGGTACATCAAGCGGGGCGGGGTTCTTATATTATACTTTTTTTTTTTATTTACATTTTCAAAATTTTGAGTTATGTTATAATTAGAGAATAAAATACAAATTTAAAATGGGTCTTTAGTGGGTAAATTATTTAGAAGTAAAATTATTATTATTTTTATCTTCATAGGGCGTCTTGCCTTGCTAGCGTGTTCAGGGTGGGGTTTTTTGCCTCGTTCGAGGCGAGATTTTCTGTCATCCCTACATATAGCTAATCACATATATGTATGCTCAAATGTTAACAGACATATGTTTGTGACATGAACTTAATATAGTGGACTGCATAATTAAAACATTTGACCACATTCGTACGTTTCTTAATTAATTAGTCATTGAAATATATATATATATATATCTGTGTGTGTGTGTGTAACGTGGAATTTGTTTGCATATGTTCTGTTGCCAATATGCATATACAGTAAGCTATGTCAATTTGCATATGGTCTGTGGCCAATATACAGTGATCTGTGACCTCAGTTCACTAATATTTGTCAAGTTGCGTATGATCTGTGACCAATATACAATTATCTGTGTCCTCAGTTTACTAAAGTAAACTGTGTCAAGTTGCATATGATCTGAGACCGAGATACAGTGATTTGTGATCTGAGTTTACTAAACCGTGTCAAGTTGCATATGAACTAAAACTTGGAATCCGTTTCTGTGAAATCACATCTTTCCATTATGAGTGCACATGTACAATAAGTACTGTTTTATTAAACAATATTACTATAAACTGTGTCTATGACAATCTGTGACCTGTTGTAATAAACTTTGACACTTGTGTATATTAGACCATTCAATATACCTCTATGTACCTAAGATCGAATATTGTGAATGCATACCAGGATTCCATATTTCTAGTTGGAAATCCAGTTGAATGGACGACAAATGGGGAATTGCAAGACACAATTGTATTAGTTCCTAATTAACATAGTAGTTTTGGAAGACCTGTTGAAAATAGGAGAAGGTCATCCAGTAAAGGAAAACCAACTGTCAAATGTGAACCTTGTGGAGGACATGGTCACAATCGAAGAAGATGCAGTAGTTTGATTTCATTAAGCTAAAATTAAGCAAGGACAAAAATCCAAGAACAACAACTTAGATGATGACACAGTTACGCAGTAGATAGATCATCTTTTGGTAGCATTTAACACTTCATAAAGTGGTTGAACTTATGGACTGGTATATCATTTTACTGTAAATGAAATATTCGTTGATGTGATAATGGTACAAATGAATACCATATGACTTTTGAAGCATAATATTTGATTTGATATTATGATAGGTGACCAGCATGGTAGAATGTGTCTTATGAAGACTTAACTATGCATAATATCAACTGTGACCATCAATTAATATTTGTGACCAATTTATAGATATTCGTGACCGTGCATATTAATTATGTGATTGCTGCATGGTCAAATATGTTGTACAACACGTAATCTAAAAAATTTAGCATAATGTGACCAAATGACCTAAATATGTGACTATATATTCTGTGACTTCTACAAATGAACTGTGCAATTGTTTTAGAAACATTTATGTGTACATGTGACCATCTGAAAACAATCGGTGATCTATTAAATTACCTGTGACCTGTGTCGTGTGGAATTACTATGATATGTGACCCAATGAGAAACATATATGAGTAATAAGCTATAATCTGTGACTTGGAAATATATATTCTGTTAATTGACACAAACTGTTAATGAAACAGACACAACAACCATCAAACATCTCAAAGTCCTGTGACCAGACATAAAATGGCCAAACCTGCTGAAATGAAAATGAAGCTATAATTGATCAATTGCGAAACCAAACAATTTTCCTATGTGTCAATGTACAACCATAGTATCACAATAATTACAGCTAGTTTCATCACACAAATTACTATAAATGAAAATAAAAAAGAGGCCAAAATTCAAACTCTTTACAAAATCCTATCATCATCCTAAATTTCGAATGCACTGTCAATCTTCACTCAATGACAATCCTCTCTCCCTTTTGTATGCTTCCCCACCTTTGTAGGCTTGAATATCTGCTAACATTTATATAACTAGGACGCTATGCCCAGCCTAGTTCTCCCAGCGTCAAATTTCTTCGGCATAGAATCTGTATCATCATGGAGCAAGTATTTAGCATATTTGATCGTAAATATGTCGCAATCATGCCTGAACAGAAACATAACATAATTTATTAGGTACGACACTTATCCAAATGCTTAGTAATAGGAAAAATGGTCATAGACTTACCCATTCTTCTATTGCGAAAGGCTACTATCAATCTTCAACCTCAAGTCCATGCAATCATCTCCATAGTGGTCAATAGTTTTTTTTTTTCCAAAGTCCCACTGCATTCATTAGGTGAGGAATAATTTCGACAAATGGTTCAATCCCAATACGGACCATAGAGTCTCGGTAGGCATTCCTAGCAGAATTGAACACATGCAATATATGTGTACTAAATTCAAGGATGGCAAGCATCCAGTGCACTTTGTTTGTTGGTATAATTGGCATAAAAACAAAGTCCACATTAGCCTAAGGAGAGTTCAAAGGCAAACTAACATTTGTAACAACATCGATCAAATTGGACTTTGACAACAATGCAGTAGGATTCTACTTGAATTTAGGGCATGAGTTTTTTAGCTTCATTTGGAACCATAAGTTTGTCGTCATAGCTTTCAATTTGACATTCTTCCCATGCCTTGCCAACTAGCGGATATAGTAGAAACAAATATTGATGTGCTGTCATAATAAAAATATAAAAATTATTATGATATCATGCTTTGTCAAAAACTATTCAAGAATATCTATGACCACAGTTCAATAAGCTGTGTCAATTTGCATATGGTCTGTTGCCAATATACAGTGATCAATGACCTCATATCACCTAGCTGTTTCAAGTTGCTTATGATATGTGACC